TTTTTTCACGATCGTTTACAAGCGCTATGTTTAGGTATGCATGCGTGAGAAAAACTTTTGAACTTTTAAAATGGCTACGGTTCTTAACTACAGAGTATATTTTATATGGCAACCGTGTTATTTGTTATTTGATCTCTAAAAACTGTTGTAGTCTTATTTTTATGTAGATCAGTATATTATAACAAAAATTTCACAAAAATATAAATAAAAAAAGGATAAAAAATATCTTAGAGTACTTAAACTTTATTTTCAATTAACAACTGTTTAGAGTAAAGCTACAGTTACGCGGCCTAAAATAATTATATTTTTGCCAGGGGGTTTGCTACATCGACTATCTTATAGCCTGACTCGCAACGGAGTGCTGCTACATCGACTATCTTATAGCCTGCTGCTACAAGGAAGTGCTGCTACATCGACTGAGGGTTTGGCATGGGAAAGCAATCTTTTTTCTTTTATTATATCGATGTGGCAAACCCCCTGGCAAAAATATAACTATTTTAGGCCGCGTAACTGTAGGATTACCCTTTTTAGTGTTATTCATAGATTTGTTTATTTATTTGAAATCAATTTTCTTAAAACCTGACTGAAGGATTTCAATAACTTTTCAATAACTATAGATAAATATGTTCTATATTTATGATATTTTTCTGGTGATTGCTTCAACTTTTTTTCAATATAAAAATTTGTTTTTACTGTTATGAGTATATATATATATATATATATATATATATATATATATATATATATATATATATATATATATATATATATATATATATATATATAATATATATATATATATATATATATATATATATATATATATATATATATACAAGACCGGCGCGATAAGGGTGTGTGGGGGGGTGTGAAACCCCCCCCCCCCATCAATGGTTTTTAGTCGGCAAACTGGACCCTTAGTCGGAATATCGGACCTTTTTAGACTAGTTAGTCGGCAAATGTCGACCCTTTCGATATAGGTTAGAGAGTCGGCAAAAGTCGTAACGGCAGTCGGCAAATTTTGGAAAACGAGGACCTTTTTTTTTTTTAGTCGGCAAAAGTTGTAATGGCACCCCCCCACCCCCTCCACGTGACACCTAGTCGCGCCGGCCCTATATATATATATATATATATATATATATATATATATATATATATATATATATATATATATATATATATATATATATATATATATATATATATATATATATATATATATATATATATATATATATATATATATATATATATATGTATATATATATATATATATATATATATATATATATATATATATATATATATATATATATATATATATATATATATATATATATATATATACATATATTTGTATTATTTATATTTTTTACTGTTACATCCAGGTTCAGGAAATAGCTAAATTACTAATATTCATAATATGAGAACAAAATTTTTGGTACTAAAAATTAATTTTGCTTTTTTTTTTTCTGTTACTTGCGTTATAGTTTTAATAATATACTTGTTTGCCAAGTTTCTTCTCGCGCAGCGGCCTTGCTCACTGAGATTTATGTTTCGGAGTTATAGATGTATGAGTAAATAATTAAATATATATATATATATATATATATATATATATATATATATATATATATATATATATATATATATATACATATATATATATATATATATATATATATATATATATATATATATATATATATATATATATATATATATATATATATATATATATACATATATATATATATATATATATATATATATATATATATATATATATATATATATATATATATATATATATATATATATATATATATATATTACAAACAAATATTAGCAATTTAGCTAATTTCTGGTACTGCAGGTACCCGAATATCAAAATACAATATAAGCAATTTTGATTTTATGTGGCTTATTAAATATTATTTAATTCAACATATGATTGGAACCGTAAGTGCACTGTATTATTATCAGCTTATTTATTATTAAGATATTTTTTAAAATTTATTTAGCTATATGTTACTATTAATTTTATTAAAGTTACCTAATATTTTTAATTTCAGTTAGAGCATAAAAGTAAAATTGTTCACACTTCGTTTTGATGATACGTACTTCGTACTTATAAAGTCGTCCCCAAAAAACAATACTTTTTAAAAAATTTTTTAAAAGCTGCCACCTTCTAATGTGTTTTTTATGATAAAAAAATACTTGGTTTAAAAATTTTTTAAAACCTTATATAACGAGTTCCTAATATTATCAATTTAAAAAATCTTCAAAAGTGTTGACATTTCGTCTTAAATTAAGAGAAATCATAAAAGTTTCAAATATGATAATTATATTATAAAAAACTTATTGAAAAAAAATATTGCGAAAAATTGGTAAAAAAGGACATTTTTCTTTTTTAGTTAATAAAGTTCATTTTTTTATAGTGTTAAATCTAACATTAAAATTTTCATATAATTTTGCTTCATTTAAGACCCAACATAATACACTTAAATAATTTTTTTTATAATATTAAGAACTTGAAATGTTCCTTGGGGGTCTCAAAGAAACATAACAAGTTTCTGAGGATCTTGAGGGCGTCATCAGAATATTCTTTATTCAAGTATGTTTAAAAATCAGTTTCTTTATTAAATAAAATACATTAAGCATATATTGTTCAAAAATGTTTTTTTTTGGGAGAACCCTATTAAATAATATTTTTCTTAACTTTAGATAAATGTGTTTTATATTGATGATATTTTTCTTGTCATCGCTTCAACTTTATTTTGATGTAAAAATTAACTTTTATATTTTTATGTTTATATATATATATATATATATATATATATATATATATATATATATATATATATATATATATATATATAGTCAGAAAAATAGTAATTAACAAAATAACTAATGAAATTGCAGTTTGATATATAAGGAAATAGTCATAACAGTAAAAACAAATTTTTATATGGAAAAAAAGTTAAAGCAACGACCAGAAAAATAGCATACATATAAAACATATTTATCTGAAGTTTAAAAGAAATATTATTGAAATCCTACAGTCAGATTTTAAGAAAATTGATTTTAAATAAATAAACAAATCTATGATTTACACTAAAAAGGTATTAAGTAAAAATAAAGTTTAAGCGCGCAAAGATTTTTGTTACATCTATTTATTTATATTTTTGTGAAATTTTTGTATTACTATATTGATTTACGTTAAAAATAAGACTGCATCATTGGCTTTTCAGAAATTAATTAACAAATAATCTGTTGCCATATAAAATATTCTCTCTAGTTAAGAACCGTAGCCATTTTAAAAGTTCGTATTTTCTTACGCATGCGTACCTAAACATAGCGCATTTTACTAATATCTAAACGACCGTGGAAAACTTTGTTGTTTGTGGCTTTTTTTATGACTGCCAAATAAATAAATTACAATAAAAAAAGTCTAAATACTCTGTCAAGAATTGAAATTTTAGCGAAAACTCTATTTAAAAGCACGCTGATAAAAAAAACACTTTTTTCCGCGTAGCGTCGCTGAACTCATGTTTTATTTTTTCCTATGTGTCAGTCTCAATACAATTGTGTTTAATTTATATTATAAAATTTTAATTCAAGATTGATTTAGAGTAATAAAAAAGTTATTTTTGAGTTATAAAAAATTTTTTATTAAAGAAAATCTCAGCGAATGATGCGTCAATGAACTATGGAATTGGTCATTACCAGCATATAACTAATATCAAGAAGAAATAACACCTCGACAGTAAAATATCTATTATTACAAATACTAAACCAAACTTCAAGAAGGCCGAAAGCCGAAACCAAAAACGAGAAGAATAGAGAAAATTCTCTAACGAACCAAGAGATAACGATAGCGATACAGAAGAAGGTGAAATAATAGAAATGAAAATTGACAAAAACTCTTATTAAAATTAACCCCTTTTCACCTACCCTTCATAAAGGAGATAATAAAAGAAACGTAAGAGCGAGAGCGGTATGATATAATTTCTTTTCTTTCTTTGTATAATATTTATATTTTTTACGGGTTATTTATTTTTTTAACAAAAAAGCAAACTGACATTATATCACACATCCCATTAATCTATTAGTCATATTAACTATTTTGTTGTTGTTGTTGTTATTATTTTTAGGTGCCCCAAGAAGACACAACAGAATTGTCACAGAGCACCGCGGAAGTGCATTTAACCAGGAAGGTCACGCCTCCTTCCTAACCGTGACGCGAAAATATGTCCAGAGCTCGTTTCGAAACTGGATCTTCTGGTTATAAAGCAAGCGCTCTAATTACTGCGCCACTGCCACACATATATCTAATATTATATACAACTATTATCCTACCACACACTCATTATAAACCGGCATAACGTTAATTAAAACTCTTTTTTCTTAAAATGGATTCAGTTAAATTTTTTTCAGTAAATATTCTGAGGATTTTTTTTTATAACGGAACAAACTCAAATTATTTTCTGAATGGGAATCGTCCGAAAAAAACATCAATACTAATCAACCAAACAAAAAACTATTTAAATTTATTCGAGCGTTTGGCGGATAACTCAGGCAATTTTAATAATGCTGTCATGGAAAACCAATACCATAAATATCTAATAATAATTTTATAAGCAAACTCGGGGACAATTTATAATCATGTAAAAAGAAAGAAAAGTTTTGTTTAAAAAAAATGCAGAAAAAATCATAAAATTGAAATACCAAAATTATGTGACAATAATAGGGGGCGACTTTAATATGGTGCTCAATAACATTATATATGGTGCTCAATAACATATATATATATATATATATATATATATATATATATATATATATATATATATATATATATATATATATATATATATATATATATATATATATATATATATATAGTCGACTCTCGATATCTCGAACACTAAGGAGACCGGAAAAAAATTTCGAGATATCGAGAGTTTGAGATATCAAGAAAAGGGTTGAAAATAAATAAAATTGCCCGACTTTCATTAAAACAAGTTATTTTTCTGACAAAAATCATTAACAACAAAAACTACAACTTTTGGAAAAAATCTGTTATCTGATATTGCTTTAAATTATACATCTTTTCCATCTTCATTAAATCCTCAAGTTTTAGTGCTAGGGATTGTATTTCATTTCCGTATTTTGAGCTGTATAGCAAAGCATTTTGAATTGTTTCAAAAGCAATTTCTAATTGAATATTAGATGGGCGTGGCGGGGCTTCAACGTCAATAGCTTTGCTAACGCTATCTTCAAATTCATTATCGTCGTTTTCAAAATTAGGGTCTAAAATCTGAGCAATGATTTCAGCATCAGTAGCAAGTGAACTGATGGTTACTACATCGCAATCTAAACCAATGTAAGATTCCGCTGAGAGATCTTTTTGGACGGCACGAGGATCTAACTCTCGCAAACGGTTAAGTTCTTCTGTCAAAAATTTAAAAGGATGATCATCATCAGTTTCTTCAATACTCTTGTTTTTTTTGCTGATACCAGCTTTTTTAAAGCAGTTGATGACAGTCTCCTTCAACACAGCATTCCACGAAGAAACAAGATCTTTCATTGCTTGAAGTATAGATATTTTTGGCATGGATTCGTTATTATCGACAGCCTTGATACACAAACACACAATTTTGTGACGATAATGAGCTTTAAGACTTCGTATTACGCCTTGATTCATGGGCTGAAGGACAGATGTGGTGTTAGAGGGAAAAATGTTTGGTTGATGTTGCTTAGCCCTTCAATGTGTGGGTGGGCAGAACAGTTATCCACCAGGAGTGCTACTTTGCCGTCTTGAGCACGAAAAAATGAGTCAAGTTTCATTACCCATTCTGTAAAAAGGTCTCCGGTCATCCAACTTTTTAGCTGATTTTTATATGTGCAATGAAGTTGTTTAATGTGCTTAAAACACCGTGGGTTTTTAGATTTTCCAATAACAAACATAGGTAATTTTTCTCCCGTTGCACTCCCTACTGCTATGCCTGTTAGTCTGACTTTACTATTTTTTCCCCCAAAACATTATTTTCGTGATAAATGGTTGCTTGGTAGGCACTGGTAAAATAGTCCAAACTCATCGGCATTGAAAATGTTTTCAAGTTTGTAATTCAAAAGCAATGTTGCTAGTGTAGTTTCATTCCACGAAGCAGTCATATTATTCGTCACGGCGGCACTTTCGCCTGAGATTATTTTAAAGCTGATGCCGTTCCTAAAAATAGGAACAGAATAATTGAATTTTATTAGACGTTTAAAAAACTAAATAAATTAAATATAAACAGATACATGTTATTTGTTTATATTAAAATTGAACAAGTTTTGACAATATTTAACTGACCTTTCTTTCCAATTATGAAACCAACAATCAGATGCTTTAAAATCCAACTCTCCTAATGCTTCTGCAAATTTTAGTGCCTTTTCTTATATTATGGTACCATCAATTGGTACTTGTTGACTTTTTGCAACGAACCACGTGTATATGGCTTTGTCTACATTTTTGAAATTACCGCTACGAAGTTTCTTCCGTTTAGATTTTGTGCCATTTTTTTCCAGTGAGGTTAATAACTTGGTTATATTTGACATGATAATGTGTTCTTTGGGACTCCATACTTTTTGGAAACCTCGTTGTTAAACATCCCTGTCTCTAGGTCTTTTAATGCCTTGCATTTTTCTATTATAGATTTGTTAGTGAGTTTTTATTTAACGAGCGGCATGTTGTTGCGTTTGACAAAAAGAATAAATTAATATATATATAAGGAAAACATTTCAGAAATTCCATTCTTAAAAAAAATCGAATTTAAAAATCAAATTAAAAATTCTTTTTTTTTCGAAAATTGGAATTTAAAAAAAATTAAATTTTATTAAAACATTTTTGAAAAAAAAAAAAATGTTGAAAAGTTCGAGATAACGAGAGAAAAATTGCCCTGTGGACCGAAAATATTGTTCGAGATACCAAAAAGTTCGAGATATTAAGGTTCGAGATATCGAGAGGGTTTTAGCCTAAACTAGTACGTTATGTCCATGGGACCGCTAAAAAAGTTCGAGAACTCAAAAGTTTGAGATATCAAGTATTCGAGATATCGATATTCGATATATATATATATATATATATATATATATATATATATATATAATATATATATATATATATATATATATATATATATATATATATATATATATATATATATATTTATATATATATATATATATATATATATATTTATATATATATATATATATATATATATATATATATATATATATATATATCACAAATCAGACCATTTCAATGTAGTTAATGTTCTTATTAAAATAAACATTTTAAAAGTAGGAAAAGATATCTGGATCCTTGACAACAACCGCCTAAAAAATAAAAAAAAATAAACAAAAATATAACAAACATCATAAAACCTTGCATTACGATTATAAACACCTCGAATAACAACAATAATAAGTGGGACAATTTTAAAAATGTTATGAAAATCTTATCAAACAAATTTAAAAAGGATGGAGCAAAAAACCACCGTCACAAAGATTTCACCATTAAAAAACTAAAAAATGCCTTTAACCCACGTCTGAAAAATTTAAGTCAAGAACTAAGAAAACTATGGAAAAAAGGCAAATATAAAATATACAAGAAAGTAAAAGCAGTGTAACTCATATTCTAAAATATACAAGAAAGTAAAAGCAGTGTAACTCATCAAAGTGTACTAGTAGAAAATACGTGCATTACCAAAACCACCCAGCAGCAATCACAAACATTAGACCAACTCTTAACTCTAAACGAAGTAAATGTTGCTCGTCAATCCATGAAAACGAACAAATAATCCGGAAACGACTACGATTATATGATTATTTTCTTTTACTCGACTAGACGATTTATTTACTAGTCAAGAAGAAAACATCGTAGTAGCAGAAGCTAATCGAGACGAGTCCCCTTCGTACCGAAGTACAACTCATACGCTGAGTAGGCGGAGCCGGGATTTGAACCTGTAATCCTGTTGCTACGGCCAATAATTATTCCGAATTTGATAGCAGCGCTTTAACCAACTAAGATATCCTGGCTCAAACGAAGGTGTCAATTCAAAATTTTATAAAGAAAACCTTTACACCCTTGACAAAACCTACTTAATGTATTAAATAATATAGTAAAAGAAAATGAGCTTCCAGCTTCACAAAAACAAGCCATCATAACATGCATTTATAAAAAAGATAACAAGTCAGATATATCAAACTGCCGACCAAATTCTTTTCTCAATACAGACTACAAAATTCCAACAAAATTTATTTCCAAAAGACATTAAAACCTACTTCTATTTATTATTAAAGAAACACAAAATGCTTGCATCTCTCATAGAACAACTTATTCAAAAAAAAATCCTACACCAGGCGCATCTATAAAACAGATGATACAAAAGCATTCGATAGAGTAAACAAGATTTTTTTATTTGATTGTTTTTAAATGTTTGGTTCTAGTAATTATTTGATCAATATAAGTCACGTTTAAAAATGAATGGTTTTTTATCCATAAAAAAATCATAATTCACAGAGGAGTGAGACAAGGCTGCTCTCTATCTACAGCTAGCTAAACAGCACAAGCGGAAATATTTGCAGGCTACATCAAAAAACACAAAAATAAAAGGGTCAAATTTTTCCAACAGCACACAGAAACAGCATAAATAACAAATCAGATGAAATAGGATACAAATTAACACATTTAAAACTACCAACAAATCAAGTCTTTAAGAAAAGAGGATATCCCAAGAAAAAAAGTTCTATAGAATTTTATATAAACTTTTGAAACATATGGCCTATAGAAATTCTATAGAATTCTAAAGAATTTCTATAGAGTTTCTGTGAGCTTCTATAAAAATTCTAATTGAAATTTTTTTTCTCCCTTTTTTTTATAGATTTTTTTTATAGAAAAAAAAGTTTTATAGCAATTTCTGTAGAAATTAATATCTATTAATTTGTATGTCTAGACATTCTATGGAAATTCTATAGAGTTTCAATACGCCATATGTTTCAAAAGTTTATAGAAAATTTCAACGAACATATACAGATATTATATAACCATAATTTTTGAACGCTTGTAGAATATACTATGAAATTTATTTAGTTTATACTCTTGATAAATATAACTTTCACTGAGAATAGCTAAAAAAAATTATCACCTTTGCGCTCTCACGTTTGTGCCAGTTGTGGCTAAAATTTATGGGCTTTTTGGTTAACAGTCTCCAATCATTGCAATTTTAATATAACATTTAAATTTTGGAGTTCCTTCCATGTACCAAAATATGCTGGATCTGAGAGTCCCGAAAATGGCATGAAACTTTAAGTACCGTAAAAAAGTTGTTTTTTCTCACCTAACCTTTTATTTATTTATGTATTGATCTATTTTGTGATTATTTCACTTTATATCGATCACTCTTAAATCAAAAAGCAGTTGATTATCATCACATAATCAAACTAACAATATTTTTGCTCCATACGTTGAGCACTCTACTTAAGTCGCATAAGTGATGGGAAAAATAAACTTTAGATATTAAGTCAAGAACATTCATATACCATCAGTTAAAGACTTCAAAATACAATTATTGTATAAAACTGAAACATTAATTAAAAGAATGCGATGGAAAGCTTTTTTAAATAAAAGTTTGTTTTTTTAATAAGAGTTGAAATAGTAAGAACAATTTTTACGGATTAAAAACATCTAATTATCTAGGGATTGAAAACATCTAATCATCTGAAACAAATTACAGAAATGATAGCTTTTGAGAATGAATTCATTGATCTTGTAAAACACATTAAGTTTCGAAGGGTACACAGCAGTTTTCAAAATAAACTAAAACAAGATATAAACAATATTCGAAAATCTAATCTAACTTATACGCATGCTGATAAAACATCCAATCTTTACAAATTATCTAAAAATGATTATAACCATTTGTTAAGAAATGCCATCACTTCAAACTACAAATTATCTTACTCAAACCTAATAAATAAAGTGTACATAGAAGGTAAACGTCTTTTGAAAAATCACGAACTTTATGATAAAATTGACATTAATACAGCTTCCACTTGTTTTATCACCTTAAAAGACCATAAAGATAATTTTGAAAACAATCCGACAATCACGTTAAATCTTTTATCTCTAAATAAAAAAATGATACTGAGCTTTCAAAGCAAGTATGGAAGTTAAAGGAAGCTGGTTTAGTTCCTATAGTTAAGTGGAAAATGTTCAGGCAATGTAAAGTGTATAATCCAATATCCAAATCTTGTAAATTATTTCTCACCAAAAAAATGAAATTCTTAATTGTAAAAATACTAATCTACTGAATATAAGTACTGAGATTGTTTCTAAGTGCGAAATTGAGAAAAAAGGAATCTAAGAAATAGATTTCTTCTTTCTCAATTTGACACTGACGATTAGAAAAGATGTTTTTTCCATACTATTATTATTATTGCTATTATTGTTATTATTATTATTGTTATTATTGCTATCGTTATTGTTATTGGTATTATTATTATCATTGTTATTTTTATTGTTGTTATTATTATTAGTATTATTATTATTTGACGTCAGAACTTATTTCATTATTTCTTTTGAATTTTGTAACAATTTTTTCATTGTATTTTAAACGGTTTTTTCTTGAATTAAATATATGGCTGGTGAGTGCCGAAATCGGTATGAAACTTTAAGTACCGCAAAAAAGTTTTTTCTCATCTAACCTTTTATTTATTTATTGATCTATTTTGTGATTATTTCACTTTATATTGATCACTCTCAAATCGAAAAAAAGTTGATTATTATCGCATAATCAAACTAACGATATATATATATATATATATATATATATATATATATATATATATATATATATATATATATATATATATATATATAAATATATATATATGTATATATATATATATATATATATATATATATATATATATATATATATATATATATATATATACTGCAACCAAATAATGCTAATTTAGTTTCTTTATATTAAAGTGCTGCATTTTTTCAATTTAGCGAAATAACTTTGTAACTGTTTAGAGACAACGTTCTTCAAGTTTTATTCATCACAAAGTTCATTATTTGTACACGAAAACTAATGAATTAATCAAAAGTATTTAAAAAAGTTGATTTCCTTCTCGACAAAACAAGTGCAACTCCACAAAATGTTGACCAAGCTGTATTTCGCTATCAATATATAGTGACGAATCCTTTGTTGTCAATCACAATCTTGCATCTTCAAAGCATAGATTTAATCAGGTGATCAATGAAACTTTGTGGAATTGATGCCCAGGCCTTTTGGATTTGTTCAAACAGTTGATTCTTATTACGAACACCTTATATATATATATATATATATATATATATATATATATATATATATATATATATATATATATATATATATAAATAATATATATATATATATATATATATATATATATATATATATATATATATATATATATATATATATATATATATATATATATATATATATATATATATATATATATATATATATATATATAGCGCGATGTACTGTACAGCTTGTGATCGGGGTTTTTTAATCATTTTAAATTTTGAACTTTATAATAATCTAATTTATTCATCCTTTCCATTTCCGTCAAAAATTATTACAATTTTAATAACAAACTTATTTATCGCTGTTCTAACGCTGTTGTGTCAGGCAATGGCCTGGATGTGTACAAGAATCACGAGTTTTTGCCACCTCAGCCATTAAGAGTTTTTGAAGGTCACCAGCATCAATATTAAAAACACAAGTGTAGCAGTAAAATGTTGCTTTGAATTTTATAAAAAAATTGCTTGCCTTAATAATTCTTTACAAATAAACCCTAAAAAATTTATTGACACTATTGCATCTTGCTTTTCTTCACAACAATATCAATCTACAAAATAATCTCTCAGTATATGATGCAATGTAAAACTATAATAAGGAAAATGGTTCTGATGCATCTACTAAAAA